GGGGGGGGCTCCACAGCGCCCGGGCGAAAGGGAGGGAGGGGAGCCGAAGGGAACCTTCGCCAGACCAGGGGGTGGTGTTCATGCAAAGGGGTTGCAGGAGGAGCGGAGGGCTGGGAGGAAGATGAGGACGCCCGTCATTGCTAAACCATTTCGAATACAGGAAGAAGTTCCGCTGACACTAAACCGAAAGTTTTTTCGTTCTCTTCTTTTCTCTCTAGAGAGGAACTATATTTAGAGCCCGGGCTAGATTTGAGACTGCGTGCGGGACACAAGCAAGCGGGCGTCGCGACGACGGGCTAGACCCGTGGCTAGGCCCCCCGGCGGCGCGGCGGCGTGGTATACGCCAGTGCCATCTCGTTGCCCCTTGTTGCCCCTTGCCCACCACACACTAACTTCACACCCCGGCGGTCCTGCATGGTCCTAGATCACAGCTGAGCGCGTGCAGTCAGCCCCCCCCCTGCTCATGACACCCCAAGATGACACGCCTCGACGTGCTGCCACTGCTGGTGCGGAGCGATGTTTGAGGATGTCTTCCGGTCAAGAGTGCGGCGGCGACGGGCGACGGCCGCCTGCGGCCACCTGTGCGCCTGTCGACCCGAGCATAGGCAACCCGCAGCACCGGGGTGATGCCAGCAGATACTCTGCCATCAACCGAACCGAAGAATCGGTCATATACTGGTTGCAGATTCCCCTGGGTGAAGGACTTCCCTCCTCAGGCAGGGCACGCGGCGGGCCGCGGTGCACTTCACTTCACTTTCTCTGTGCGGCTGTGGCGCGGCGCGGCGGCGCCCAGCTGACCGGCCCCAGAGTCGTGGCCGGCCGGCGCCGCCCCACGGGAGGCCCTTTCCCTCGAGGGCAAGGACCGGCGCGGTGCATCCGCGGCTCTCTCCGCACGGGCGCGCGGGGGTGGTGGTGGACAGCGCGCCGTCCTGGACCCTCCATCAGGCCGCCCCGCCCCGCGGTCTAGCTGGGCGCCGCCGGCTGGGGCGCGTGGTGGGATGGCGGCGGCGCCCGGAGGAGCGGCGCGGGGGCCTCGGGCCCCCCAGACCCGCCTCACGGAGCGTGGCGCGGAGCACGCGGAGCACACCACCGACCAGTCCCGCGCGCCAACCACAGCCAGGCATCGCGAATCTCCGCGCCGCGCCTCCACCGCGCCCGCGCGCACGCCGCACACCAGTCCAGTCTGCGCCGAGACGCCGACGAGGGAAGGCCATGACTGCCAAGCAGGTGAACGGCGTGATGCCGCTGGCAGCGCTGCTGCTGCTGCTGCTCGCTGCCGTCATGCATGAGGCCAGCGCCAAGCCCACCATCTACGTCAAGAACGACAACGACAAGCTGGAGCCCGGTGAGTCACGCCACCGCGTCAGAGGGCCAACGCTCGCGGGGAGGGGGACTTCCCTTATCGCCGGAAAGGATTTGACTGTCGCACCAAACGACGAACTTGATCGACAGGTGATGCGCAGAGAAGGGCCGGCGCCATACGGGGCCAGGAAGTGAACTCGGCCAGGCGGGGCGAGGTGGCGGCGGGCGGGGCTGCGGCACAGGTGGTTGCCCATGTAGGCTGCCCAGCCCACGCGGGCCTCCTTGTTTAGTCCCGTGCGCACTCGCGGTTCGGGTCGGCCTATCGCCCCCCGCAGCCCGCACTCAAGTAAGGGCATGTTCTTGACGAGAGCGAGGTGTGCATCTTGTCGTCGGTATTTCGAACTTTGCGTGCTGCCGCCGGTGCCGCATAAGGGCCCAGGGCCGCGGCGTGCCCTTTGGCGTGGCGGGGCCCGGAGAGGCGCGCGCCGCGAGCTGCTGGGCCTTGCGCAACAACATGCCGTGTGCCGCGGCCGCCCCCCTCTCCTCCCCTCACCTTTCTCCATCGCGAAGGCGACTGACTCAGCTCGGTAAACGTTGCCGAGAAAAGCGCGCGCAATAAGCATTCTTGCGAAAAAGAATAACCGTCTGGGCGGCTCAGTCTGCAGGGAGATGAAATATAGAAGTAGAGCGTCAGGCGCGGTAATGTATAATGTATACTTTTTAAAAAAAATTCATTTTGGTGCCGTCACCACTGCACCTGGGTGTCACGTCCTGGAACTCATGGGGTGATTCAGTCCGGACTGTTGGTTCGGGTCACGCACGGTCCAGCCCGCTCCGGCCGCAAGGGAGACCAGCGAGGGGCTCAGCGCGGCTCTGGCTCGGCTCGCGTAACGGGTGCGGGGCGGGGCGGCGGCCGCACTAGGCACGGCGTGCCGTCATGCCAGCTGCATCTAACTGCACCCAAACACACCTGCAGGTGGCGGCTGCGGCTCGCTCTGCGGTGTGGCGCCCTCTGCGCTGCCCATTGCGCGTCCACTGCACCTAACTGCACGCGAAGACACCTGCGGTGGCACCCTGTGCTCACCCCGCCTCCCAGGTGCGCGTCCGCTGCACTTAACTGCACCCGAACACACCTGCAGGTGGTGGCTGAGGCTGCGCCCTCTGGTACCAGGTGCGCGTCCGATCAGAATCAAGCGGCGAGTTATGCCTGTTGTGTGAATCGCGCTTTTTCCTTCCACATGGGCGCATCTCCTGAGGCCGACCATACGAAGTGGGCGGCGTGGATGGAGTGGAGCAGTTTTTATTATTTTTCAGTCGGGTGGGTCAGAAACCTCTGCGCGTTTATTTCGGGCGGGCATTTTGTTTGTTTTTTTTCCCGCGGCCGTATGGTCGGAATGGTCCTGCAGGATAGGCGCCTCAAGAGGTGGGACGCAAACCCTCAGGCTCATGGCGCTCACGGCGGGGAGTGGGGTGGTCTAGGTAAAACAATGGGGTACCCTTCCCTCCCCACCAGCCCACCAGAGGGGCCCAGGCCCAGAGGCCCAGAGAGGACTCTCCTCTTCTTGCGTCATTGTTGTGGTTTGGGCGGGGCGCACGACTCTCGCCCCTCTCCTGCCTCCCGCTCCCGACAGCGACAGGTGGAATGGAAATGCCGAATACGCCCCTGCCGCTCGAGGACAAGGACAAGGAAAATTCTTTAATAACCAACAGACGAAGGACCAACCGGAAGAAGACAAGAACCACCGCAAGTGAAATGGCCAATCGGGATCGACCGCTGCATCGGCCTTAGGCTCGGAAGGGAAGCGCCTGCT